ACTGGTCCGTTCCCATCAGTACAATGAAAAATCTCAATATATACTAAAGGGGGAGGGGGAGGGGGGAATCAGGACTATAAATAACATATTTAAAAAATGGCTTGTCTCTGTCAGATTGTGTGTTTGGAGGCTTTACATTTCAGAGCACGGGCTCCAGAGCCAGACTTCCTGGGTTCATACCCTGGCGATGCCACTTCCTCGCCCTAGGATCTTGGGCACAAACGTAAAATGGAACTTAACAACATCCCTACCTCACAGGTTGCTGGGAGCATTAATTACATGAAATAATATGTCTCAAAGTGGCTAGGGTTGTTGTGAGGAGTAATCCATGTAAAGAATTTAGAATAGTACTTGGCTTGTAGTAAGCACTCAATAAATATTAAGTGCTATTACTAATATCTTCTAATTAGTGGGGATCTTGTTCATAATGGTAGGACCAAAGGACCTGCATTCAATTGCTTGTTTTACCGCTTTTTAGCTGGGTGACTTTGAACAGGCTGTTTCACCCTTCAAACCTCAGTTTCCTCCTCTGTAAAATGGGGATGGTAACAGCAGAATCTGCCTCATAGGGCTCTTGACAAGATTGAAAGAGATAATGTGTATTAAAATACTTATCACACTCTCAGTAAATGTTGCTGTTGTGTTTGTTTCCTGTCTCACAGCATAACAAGTGAACGGCTCAGACCCAGTTCCAGAGGTAGGCAGCCTTGTATCGTGAAGGTTAGTTGATATGAAAAACTTAGTTTATTTCCTGCCAGATTCTTGTGGTGGAAACTTAGACAAGTCTCTCTTCCTTTTTGGGTCTCTTAGTCTGTGCAACGTTGTGAGGGCTGCTTTCACCTTTCAGGACTCTTTTGGATCTGAAAGGCCAGGCACCTGTGACAATGAGTATGAGTGTGTGCACTTCAGAGCCCGCTAGCTCCTGGGACGAGTATGTAGTTTAAGATTTCTGCTTCCTTTTGTTCAGCTGCTCCCTTGTGGCTACATCCTCTAAGTAATCCTCTAAGTAATCTTGCAGGATTATTCAGACGTGCATTAACCTGCTGTTCCAGTTGTTTATTCCTATGTCATCCCCAAAATGGGTGGCTTAAAAGGAGCATCGTTTTATTATTGTCTCTGATGGTTCTGGGAGGTGACTGGGCTGAGCTGTGCATTTCTTACTTGGTTCTCTCATGTGGCTGTGGTCAGCGGATGTCTGTGGCTCACCCATCTGGCAGATGACCCTGGCCGTTGGCTGGGACCTCAGCTGGGTCTATAGACTGGAATGCCTCCATCTAGCCTCCATGTGGTCTGGGCTTCCTCACAGCATGGTGGTTGGGCTCTGAGAGTGAGCATCCCAAGAGACATGATGTGGAAGCTGCCAGACTCTTATGGCCTGGACCTGGAAAGTGAAGCAGAAGTACTAGTTTTGGTCAAGCCACCATGGAGCTCAGGCTCAAGGGCAGAGAACCTGAATCCCACTTCTTGATGAGGGAAATGTCAAAGATATTTAAGGTCATGTTTTAAAGTCAACATACCTGCCTGCCTGCTCTGTTGGGGAATAAGAAGACTTAAATCAACTGACATTACCCACTTTTCTTCCCAAATGTCTTCTCACGCATGCTGCTTAATTATGCACTCGTTGATTTGTAACAAGACGACCAGTTAATCCCCTCACTGTCAGGACAGACCAGAATTGCCACCCCACCCCACCCCACCCCACCCCACCCCCCAGGGAGGACTCTAGCCCCTGGTCTCCAACTCCTGTAACAGGGCAATGAATGATTGGCATCTCCTGTAGCCACCGCTAGGGGGTGTGCTGGTGACTGAATGGCAGATGGCGCAGGTATCCAAGAGGCCCAAGTGATGGCTATAAACCACTATTTCTGCCTCTGCACAAGCACTGCTATGATGCCAGATTCAGTCCTTCCTAAGTTCATCAATCTGGTCTTTCCGACCCATCAAACCTGGCGAGCATGGGCTCAGGAATTAGTCTCCTACAAAGCTAGGATAGCAGCCTAGCAGTCTGACCTGTGTGTATTACGTTATAGCATTTGAACTTTATTAATTATGATGGTGTGTGTCTTCATCTAATGACAGTGGGTCCTTTAGAATTAGTGATTGGATTTTGTTTCTCCTTTCTCAGAGGACGTTAATTACACCTTCAGAAATATAACTTCTGAGTCCTCATTTTACAGATGGAGAAATTGAGGCTTAAAGAGAGGAGTGACTTATGCAAAGTTCAATTAGGAAAGTAACCATAGAGTCAGGAACAAATCCTAGTTTATTTTGGTTGCTTAACATTTTTGTGGCTGTTTTCTCCTCTTGTCGGGCTTGGTTTGCTAGCTCATTAGCCAGAAGTTGGAAGCATTTACTAGTAGTGGAAATGCAAACCTTCTTTGTTAAGAAAACCAGTGGCCGTGCAAATGTAGCCCTTAGCCCTGTATGAAGTGCAAGATTTGTTTCTTACTTCCCTTCACTTACTCAAAAGCCAAGAGTCAACAATACCTCCAGTATAAGGTTTCGTTTTCCTCTGAGAACACACAGACACACACATACACACAAACAACACAGAAGCACATGATACAAGCAGAGCAGCTGAAAAGGATGTTTTGGATGAAATCTTGGCATTTCTTGTTCCTGTGCGACCTGGGAAAGTCAAGGGTGCCAGAATTCGGACGGACTTCAGTTCAAATCCCTACTCGTCCACATGTCTGTGAATGGGGGTAGGACACCCATCTAAAGGGTGATTTTGAGGATTAAATGGAGGAATGGGGTCATTTCATCACAATGTTGCTCTGTCACCTTGGATCAGCTGGCTAGCCTTTCTGGACCACTGTATATGCATCTGTAAAACAGATTTGATTAGATGATTTACAGAATCCCTTGAAGCTGGAACATTCTATGCTGCTCCTCCCCTGGGATCTAATTGGATTCGGGATGGACTGTTGCAAGGACTGAAGACGTAAGGAAAGACTCGACCGACGCTGACACATGCTGGCTTCTGCTGCTTTGCGAGGGCTCCGTGTTTGATGTAGGCCTTTTACCAGGGTGTGTTTGTGCTCTGTCCACGGTTTGCCTGGCCATTGCCGCAGTCCCCATTCTGTTCCTCAGGGTCTGGGAAAGAGCCAGTGGATGTGGAGACTCACAGGCAGGATTTCTTCCCAAGAACTGCTTGGATGGTGAAACAAAGTCCAGAGAGATTTCCTGTTTTGTTTTTCACAAGCTCCAGTGTTGATTACAACACACACACACACACACACACTCTCACGCTCATGCAAAAACAAAAACACATACACAAACAAAACAGGATGTTCTCCGTCCTCCTCCCCACGCTGGCTTCCGAGGCGGTCTCTTACCATCTGTGCCACTTTCACCCGTGGCCCTGCATTTCACCATTGTGGTAATTAAGCCCTCAGCACTAGCTGGAGACGCTACAGTATCTTAAGCCGTGAGCAGTTGTACAGGTTAATTTAAGCGAGAACCTGCAAATGGAAGGAGAAGAAAGTCTGTCGGTCAGCATGACCTCATGCCGTCCCATCTGGTTTCTGTCCTCATGAGAGTGCCCCCTCTGATGCTGGCGGGAGAGCGGACGTTTGTTCCCAACATAGGTTCTGACGCTTAGTGAGAACAGCGCTGTTACTGTGTACCAGACTCTGGCCCACATACTTTATATGCAAACACTGAATGGGATATATTTATACTAAAACAAAAGAAGTTGTTCATTTGGAATTTGAATTTAACTGGGCATCTTGTATTTTTATTTACTGAATCTGGCAGCCCTACTTGGGGTCAACCCCACTGTCCTACATGGTTAAATAGAAAAGATCTATGCTTAGGAGTCACAGAGAGCTGGGTCGGGTTTCTGCTTCCATCGTTTGCTTGCTGTGTGGTCTTGGGGATGTTACTTCACTGCTCTGATTGCTAGTTCTCACCTGTAAGTGAAGGTCCTCAGGACTGTTGTAAGAATTACATTTTTTTTAATGCCTTTAAAGTACCTTACATTGTGTAATTAGGTGCTTCATGAACATGAGCTCTTATTATAATTCTTTTTTCATTTCTTTGGGTCACTATTCTTAATTCAGGAGAAATTAGATCATTTGTTGATCCCCTTGGAGAGGATATTGGTAAGAACATATGGCAGGAATAATTGGAGCCTCCTCATTAGAGACGTTGAGAGAAATGAGTCGGAGGCTTACACAAACGCATTCTTGGTACACACCTTCTCCTTCTAGATCCGTGTCCTGTAGCTAAGAAGGCAGACCCCAGACCCACTTTACACAGACATGCTGTACTTGTCTTTTGAATAATATAAGATGGAAAAAAGTGACACCTGGGTAATCAGGTGTCCTTGACAGTAGGCACTATGAAGCTTTTGTTTAAAAAGTACACAGAAAGTAAAAAACCTTAAAGAAAACATGAGACTATGCAGAATCTGTTACCTGGCAAAGGAGGAGGAGATCAATGTTATCTGGTATCCTTAAGTCTGAAAAAAGCTGTCAAACTTTCTGAATCCCCAATGCCTTGAAATGTCAGTGTAAATGGAGTGACAAAAGCATAAAGCACATCCGAGCCTGGGCCTAATGATCAGGTTTTCAGTGTCTGTTCATTTATTCAGTAAATACTGGCTGAATAAGTGTGCTCAGTCCTATGAGAAAACTCATGTGACTAAGTCATGGCCTGTGCCCTTGGTGGGGTCAGAGTCTGTTGGGTGAGACAGGCAAGGGGATGTGATGGTTAGGTGTGGTCCAGTGTGTTATGCTGTCCAGAAAAGGAGCCTGACTCCAGGTTTAAAGTCAAGGTTGGGTTCCCAGTGTTCATTCTGACTGCTGGGTAGAGAGAATGGCTCCAAGTAGAAGAGCCTGGTAGTAGAATGCTAGGGATTTAGGCAAGAGATGCTGTCCTGTGCCCAGGAGAGCTACTCTGGAGCTTGAGTCAGCTGCCATCATGGCCATTAGAACCTTCACTCTCCATCTCTCCACCATTGTCATCATCATCTCTTTTGTCCTCCTTTATTCCAGGCCTTCAAGAGTGCACTGATGAGCTCCTACTGGTGCTCAGGGAAAGGGGACGTGATCGATGACTGGTGCAGGTGTGACCTCAGTGCCTTTGATGCCAGTGGGCTCCCCAACTGCAGCCCCCTCCCGCAGCCGGTGTACGTATGTATGGCCCCTCTTCCTTTGGCCACCCCTTCCCATGGGCTCATACTCCTCTCCTGCCAACCCAGGCCATCACTGGCTTCTGTTCCTAGGGTGCTTCACCAGATCCCTGAAGTCTCTGGGGGCCCCTACCTCCTTCTTTGAGAAAGCAGGGAGTTTCAGCAGAACAGAATCATGGCTCAGGGGTAGACACTCAAATTGCAGTGCGTGCTATTTTAGCAATGCCACACCATCCATCCTTCCTGACTTCATTCATCCGCTCAACAAAGGTTTCCCCGGCACTCACTATTGCTTTGTCAGTTCCTGTGCTGACCACTGCGGCTACTGAGACAGAGAAAGTGTAGAACCTATTCTAAGAATCTTTATGTTATTCACTCATTCAAAAGATAATGTTTGAACACCTGCTGTGTGTCAGACCCTGGGGAATTCGTCGATGAGCAAGACAGACACTTGGGGAGCTGACCATTTAGTGAGGGGGGCAGATGTCAAAGCAAAAACAGGAAACTGTGATACCGCTCAAAAACTTAATAAAAATACGAAAAAAAAAACCCACAAAGACACACTAATGGAGGAAATAAAGGAGGGGATGCTTTAGTTGGAGAAGAGGAAGGTAGTCTGGGAAGCCTCTCGAGAAGACCTGAATTAGAGTCCGAGCGAGGCAGGTGGGAAACGGCAACAGTCATGTTTCAGGCAAAAGGAAGAGCCCATGGGATAGCCCTGATGCAGGACATTCGTCATTGGAGGAAGTAAAGGACTGGGACATGTGATTCAGAGGGAGAGCCGTGTGAGGAGCAGAGATCTGGGCAGGAGCCAGCATTGAGGACGCACTGCAAGATAGTCCTTGAGGAGACAGTGGATGGAGTGGCAAGAGAGCCGGAATCTGGGCTGGAGACAAGCAAAGTCACCACCATGGTTCAGTCCCCAGCTGGTCGGGTGACTTTGTGCAGATCATTCCCTTTTCTGGGCCTTGCTGTCACCTTCTGTGAACTGGGGGGATGAACTCCCCTCTCTCAGAGGACCCTCCCAGTGCTCACCTTCAATCATTCTGTTATTTCTCACTTTATAAAAGGACTCCCCAGGATTCCTGCCCTCTGTGAGTATTGATTTAAGGATATTAAAAGGTTGGCTGATAAATTGGGGGATTGAAGAGAATGGCAGACAAGTTGGAAGATACTGTGTTTGAAGGCACTGCCAAGTTAATTGACAGTGAAGCATCATTGAGAATATATTTTAAATAAATGGAAAGCTAATCAACTTTCCTTGAGCACATATTGACTGCTTAGATTAATTTACTGGATCCCACATCGATCCTGAAAGGGAGCTCTTCTTATCCCCGTTATGGACGAGGAAACGGAGGCTGAAAGAGGTGTAATTAATTGCTTGAGTCTATATAAGGGACTGGTGGTGGGTTGAATCAAAATTTGAAGCCAGACTGAATGCTGTGCTTTTAATCTTGACACAAGCCGACTCTTTGGGGGCCCAGACAATACTGGCTGGCAAACAAACAACCTTCCCTGTCACCCCCGTAGGCTGCGGCTCTCCCCAACCGTAGAGCCCTCCAGCACCGTGGTCTCCTTGGAGTGGGTAGATGTTCAGCCAGCTATTGGGACCAAGGTCTCTGACTATATTCTGCAGCACAAGAAGGTGGATGAATACACAGATACAGACCTCTACACGGGTAAGTAGAAAGCCTATGACTTCCTCTTTGGCCGAGGTGGTGTGACAGAGAAGGGATTTTCTGGGATTTTCTAAATGCCTTTGGAGCCTTGGTGTCATCTGAACTGGGAAGTTTCATTGTTTAGTGATTGTCACCTAGTGCCCACACCTGTGTGCTTTCTGGTATGATTTTCAGCAGGGGAAGGTAGCAAATTGTACTTGGAAAAATTCCTGATTCTCTTAAGTTGGATCCTCAAAGCCATATACTGAAGTGTTAGTTAATTCAAAAAATTCTACTTGGGAAGGCCTACATGTTGCATTTTTGAAGACCTTGACCTGTAACTATATTATCTCTGGGAGCGAGATAAGGAAATTCAAGGAATTGCCTTTTCTAGTGAGATGTGCTGAAGTAGTTGCCGTAGTGCTGGTCTGGCTCTAGGGAGGCTGGCAGCCTGGGTCTCTGGGACTGGCCTTGAGGCAGGACCTGAGGGCAGGCCTAGTACTGGGGTGTCGGGGGCCAGAGACCAGAGGAGCCAGCCTGCCTCTGGGGTGGGTCAGAAGCCTGAGTTGGTAGTAGTTGGCCTGGTGCTGGGCCCAACTGGAAGCCTGGGTTCAAGGCTAATTTCCTGGAACTTGGGTTCCCAGGAGGACTGGGGAGCCTGGCCACAGGGACAGCCAGGGGCCTTTGGAGCTGGCAGATGCTGGGGTGGGTAAGGGGCCTGGGTTCATAGGAGCCCACTGGGAGTCTGGTGCCATGGAAGCTGCTGGGGCTCCTGAGCCGGCAGCTCCTGGGATGAACCAGAGGCCTGGATTTGTACAGAAGCCTGCTGGGAGCCACGTGCAGCCATGGGAGTCGGCCCTGGGGTGCAAGTTGCGCACTCACTTTTCCCTTTCCTTCCGGGATGGTTTCTCTCTCACTGCCCTGGGCTGCTGAGGCTTGGGGGAGAGGTTATGGTAGTAAAGTAAATCTATCTTTCCTACCCTGCTCAAAGCACATTATATTATTTTTGTACCTCACCCTGGTGCTGAGATCCCTCACCTAGAAACCGTAGTTCTTGTGAAGGTATTTCTGTGCAGATAGTTGTTGAAATTGATATTTCAGTGGAGGTGGTTGAGAGGATGCGGGGGGAGACAAGTGCTAGAAATTCTTATGCTGCCATTTTGCTAACATTAGCCCCTGAACGATTACCAAGCGTGCTTTTATAGATCAAGGAAGTGAATCCCAGAGAGGCCTGTGACCCTCCCAAGTCCCACGGCCAGGCTGTCGTACTCACAACATAATGCCTGCATCTTTACTGATTATGCTTGGTGATAAAAGACTGAATGCTAGTTTGCTGAGGTTTTTGTTTTGTTTTAACTAGAAAATGGACGTTGAATTTTCTGTGTCTATTGAAATGATCATACAGTGTATGTTTCTTAGTTTGTTAATGTGGTAAATTACATTGATGGATTTTCAAATGATTTAAAAGAAAACCTTGCATTCCTGGAATAAACAAATCTCACATGGTCATGATGCATTATCTTTTTTATATGTTGTTGGACTTGTTGTGTTAAAATTTTGCTTGGTTTTGGCATCTATGTTCCTGAGGGATTTTGATCTGTAGTTTTCTTGTGATGCTTTTGTCTGTTTTGTTGTCAGGATAATTCTGGCCTCTCAAAGTAAATTGCAGAATATTTTCTCCTTTTTCATCTTCTGAAAGAGCTTGGGTGGAATTAGTAATATATATTTTTTAATTGTTTGGTAGAATTCACCAGTGCAATAATCTGGGCTCGGAGCCTTTCTCGTAAGAAGGTTTTAATTACCAGTTTAATTCTCTGGGAGACATGGGGCTACTCAAGTTATGTATTTTTTTTTTGAGTGATTTTGGTAATTTGTATGTTTCAAGGAATTTATCCATTTCACGTAAGTTGTAAAATTTACTGGTAAAAAGTTGTTCATGATATTCTGTTGTTACTCTTTTAGTATTTATGGAATTTATAGTGGTATCCCTCTTTCAGTCTTGATATTGGTAATTTCTCTCATCTCTCTCTTTCTGCTCAGTCTGGAAGGAGGGTTACGTAATTCGTTTGTCTTCTCAAAGAGTCAGCTTTGATTTCACCTATTTTTGCTATTTTCTATTTCATTGATTTCTATTCTGATCTTTGTTTTTTCTTTGGCTTACTTTGGATTTAGTTTGCTTCTCTTTTTCTGGATTTTTAAGGTGGTAGCTGAAGTTGCTGATTAGAGATTTTTCTTGTAATGTAAATATTTCCCCTAATTATTGCTTTAGTGGCTTACCACAAATTTTTGATAAATTGGTTTTTCATTTTCTTTCAGTTCAAAATACTTCCTATTTTCCCTTTTGTTTTCTTATTTGACCCATGGTTTCTTTAGATGCATGTTACTTTATTTCCAAATAGCTGAGGATTTTTCATTTATTTTTTCTGTAATTGAATTTTAATTCGATTCTGCTGTATCAGAGAATATACTTTTTTTAAAAATTGAAGTATAGTTGGTTACAATTTACCAGTTTGTGGTGTACAGCATAATGTCCCAGTCATGCATGTATATATACATATATTCATTTTCATATCAGAGAATACACATTTTATGACTTTAGTCATTTTAAATTTATTGAGACTGGTCTTATGGCACAGAATATGGTCTATCATTGTTTTCAGATTCCAGTTTAAAATCAAGTACATTCTTCTGTTGATGGATGAGGTATTCTATAAATGACAATTAGATCACATTGGTCAATTGTGTTGTCAGGTCTTCTAAATCCTTCCTAATTTTCTGTCTTCTTTTTTGTGTCAATACTTGAGGGAAAGGCAGTGAAATCTCTGAAGATGAGTGTGGATTTATCTGTTTCTCGTTATAGTTCTATCAGTTTTTACTTTATATATTTTGAAGCTCTGTGATTTAGAATGTTTTACATCTTGATGAATTGATCTCTTTATCACTGTGAAATGATTGTCTGTATCCCTGTTACATGTTTTGCCCCCAGATCTACTTTTTCTGATATTAATAGAACTACTCCAGCTTTCTTCTGATTAGTATTGAGATGATCTACCATTTTTAATTTTTTTACTTTTATATTATTTGTGCTTTTATATTCAAAATGTGTTTCTTGCAGCCAGCATATTTTTAGGTCTTAATTTTTTGCCTCTTTTAAAAATCCAATCTGACATTGTTACCTTTAAATTGAAGTGTTTAGTCCATTTGTATTTCATATGATATTGCTGTCGTTAGGGTCATCTTGCTATTTGTTTTCTGTTGTCCCATCTTTCTTTGTTTCCTTTCTTTTTCTATCTTTTTTTAGATTGAGTGTTTTTATTATTCCATTTTATTTCTTTTGTTGACTTTCTAGTTACAACTCTCTTGTGTTAGTTTAGTGGTTACTTAGGGTTTACATATGCATTTTCAACATATCACAGTGTACCATTAGGTGCTATTATAACACTTCATATACAGTATAGGAACTTCATATAGTATAATTTTATTTCTCCTCTCCAAGCCTTTATGCTGCATTGTTACACACTTTATTCATATACATAAGTTCCATAATTCATTATCATTTTCCTTAAATAGTAAACTATCTTTTAAACATATTTAAATAATAAGAATAATTTTATATATTTACTCATGTACTTACGTTTTTGGTGTTCTTCATTCTTTTTCAAACATCCATATTTTCATCTGATTTCATTATTTTTCTGCCTGAAGGATATCTTTTACTGTTTCTTATATTTCAGGTCTGTTAATGATGAATTCTTCCTGCTTTTGCTTGTTTGTAAACTGTGATTGCTGGGTACAGTCTTCTAGATTGACAGATTTTTTTCTTTTAGTAATTTAAAGATGTTGCTCCTCTGTCATGCTTACATTATTTGCGTTGAAAAATCTGTCTTTATTTCTATTTTTGTTCCCCTGTACATGCATACCTTCCCCCCATACCCCTGGCTGCTTCTAAGATTTTTCTCTTTACTATTGGTTTAGAGCAGTTTTATTATTCATTGTGCTTGGGGTCCACTAAGCTTCTTGGGTCTGTACATTTATATTTTTATCCCGTCAGGAAGATTGGGGGCCATTATTTAAAATTTTCTTTTTCTTTCTGCCCACCTTTCTTCTCCTTTGGTGAACTAATATGTGCATTCTGCGGCTTGAAATTGTTCTTTATTTCACGGATGCTCTTTTCATTTTTAAAAATTATTCATTTTCTTTTTGTTTCATTTTGGATAGTTCCTAGTGCTATGTTTTCAATACTTTCTGCAAAATCTCCTCTACTGTTAATCCTAGGCTGTGATTTCTTTTTCAACACAGACATTATAATTTTCACCTTTAGAAGTTCAAGTTGGATCTTATTAGTATATGGCATTAACTTTTTTGCTATATGCAATAGTTACAATGATGGTTTTAATGCCCTTGTTTGCTAATTCTAATGTCTGTGTCACGCCTGGGTCCGTTTGAATGGACTGATTTCTCTTCTCATCATGGCTTGCATTTTCCTTCTTCTTTGCATGCCAGGTAATTTTTGATTGAATGCCAGGCATTATGATACTTGCCTTGTTGGGTGCTGGATATTTTTATATTCCTATAAATATTTTTGAACTCTTTTCTGGGACACAGTTAAGTTAGTTGGAAACAGTTTGATTCCTTTGAGTCCGGCTTGTACGATTTGTTAGGTAGAATCAGAACAGTGTTTAGGCTAGGGCTAACTATTCCCTACTGCTGAGGCAGGACCTTTCTATGTGTTCTACACAATGACCTGCCCATGAATTACAAGATTTTCCAGTGTGGCTGCTAGGAATAGGCACTATTTCTGGCCCTTATATGAGCAGTGGGCACTGTTCTATCTAATCCTCTTGGGTTGGTAGGCTCCTTACATGTATCATCGGTCAGTACTCTGCTGAGAATTTAAAGGGGACCTTCCACAGATCTCTTCAATTTTCTCTCTGTACAGCTGTCTCCTCTCAATTACTCTACCCTATAAATTCTAGTCACTTTGGTCTCCCTGGACTGAGAACTCTGTCTTTTCAGTGTAG